GAGCATGACTATCGGTCGGCCTCAAAGAGATTCTGGCAAACTGTCCGGCGCCTCAGGAGGGGGAAGCAGTTCTTTGCCAACACCGTGTACGGTGCGGGGGGTGAGCTGCTGACCTCGACTGGGGATATTGTCGGGCGGTGGAAGGAATACTTTGAGGTTCTCCTCAATCCCCCCGTCACGTCCTCCGCTCCGGAGGCAGAGGCTGAGGATGTTGGGGCGGATACTTCTGTCACCCTGGCAGAGGTCACCAAGGTGGTTGGCAGCCTCCTTGGTGGCAAGGCGCCGGGAGTGGATGAGATCCGTCCTGACTATCTAAAGTCTCTGGATGTTGTAGGACTGTCTTGGCTGACACGTCTCTGCAACATCGCGTGGCGATCGGGGGCGGTGCCAATGGAGTGGCAGACCGGGGTGGTGGTTCCTCTCTACAAGAAGGGGGACCGGAGGGTGTGTTCCAATTATCGTGGGATCACACTCCTCAGCCTCCCTGGTAAGGTTTACTCCAAGGTACTGGAGAGGAGGTTACGGCCGATGGTCGAATCTCGGATTCAGGAGGAGCAGTGTGGTTTTCGTCCCGGCCGTGGAACACTGGACCAGCTCTACACTCTCCATCGGATACTCGAGGGTTCATGGGAGTTCGCCCAACCTGTCCACATGTGCTTTGTGGATTTGGAGAAGGCGTTCGACCGTGTTCCCCGGGGTGTCCTTTGGGGGGTCCTCCGTGAGTACGGGGTCCGGGGTCCTCTGCTGAGGGCCGTCCGGTCCCTGTATGACCGGAGCCAGAGCTGCGTGCGCATTGCCGGCAGTAAGTCAGACCTGTTCCCGGTGCATGTTGGCCTCCGCCAGGGCTGCCCTTTGTCACTGGTTCTGTTCACTGTATTCATGGACAGAATTTCTAGGCGCAGCCAAGGGTCGGAGGGGGTCCGGTTCGGGGACCACAGGATTTCATCTCTGCTGTTTGCAGACGATGTTGTCCTGTTGGCTCCAACGAACCAGGACCTGCAGCATCCACTGGGACGGTTTGCAGGCGAGTGTGAAGCGGCTGGGATGAGAATCAGCACCTCCAAATCTGAGGCCATGGTGCTCGACCGGAAAAAGGTGCCTTGCCCTCTGCAGGTGGGTGGAGAGGCCCTTCCTCAAGTGGAGGAGTTCAAGTATCTCGGGGTCTTGTTCACGAGTGAGGGAAGGATGGAGCGTGAGATTGACAGGCGGATCGGTGCAGCGTGCGCAGTGATGCGGTCGCTGTATCGGACCGTTGTGCTAAAGAGGGAGCTGAGCCGAAAGGCAAAGCTCTCGATTTACCGGTCAATCTTCGTTCCCTCCCTCACCTATGGTCATGAGCTTTGGGTAATGACCGAAAGAACGAGATCGCGGATACAAGCGGTCGAAATGAGCTTCCTCCGCAGAGTGGCTGGGCGCTCCCTTAGAGATAGGGTGAGGAGCTCAGTCACACGGGAGGAGCTCGAAGTAGAGCCGCTGCTACTCCACGTCGAGAGGAACCAGTTGAGGTGGCTCGGGCATCTGTTCCGGATGCCTCCTGGACGCCTTCCTGGGGAGGTGTTCCGGGCACGTCCCACCGGGAGGAGGCCCCGGGGAAGACCCAGGACACGCTGGAGGGACTATGTCTCTCAGCTGGTCTGGGAACGCCTTGGAGTCCCCCCGGACGAGCTGGAGGAGGTGTGTGTGGATAGGGAAGTCTGGGCGTCTCTGTTTAGACTGCTGCCCCCGCGACCCGGCAACGGATGAAGCGGAAGAAAATGGATGGATGGATGGATGAATGTATGAATGGATGAATGTATGAATGTATGAATGTATGAATGTATGAATGGATGAATGTATGAATGTATGAATGGATGAATGTATGAATGTATGAATGGATGAATGGATGAATGTATGAATGTATGAATGGATGAATGTATGAATGTATGAATGTATGAATGTATGAATGTATGAATGGATGAATGGATGAATGTATGAATGTATGAACGTATGAATGGATGGAAAACAAATGCAACATCTGCCAAACCGTGAGAGGGCAGCCTTAAGCCTTACGGTGGAAGCATTCGAACACGAAGAAGAACACTTCCGGTTTACGGTACCCGGAAGCGCTGCACAAACTCCAGCCTGTCATCATTCAAGCTTTCATTTTAATGACTGTAGATTATTCTGACAACTTTAACATCGTGTAAACACCGGACTGACGCCATGGCGGCCCAGCTCCCCGCGTGTGTGGTGGACTGTGGCACGGGGTACGGACTACAATAAGCTTCTTGTTAGCATTAGCTCCATTAGCTCCATTAGCTTCATTAGCTTTAGCTCTACACGTACACAGGCACAAGCAGCTAACGCCCTGGAACACTACTTTCCTCTCACACTCAAGCTTTTTATATAAAACATACACATATTCTATTAAGCCACAGTGAACAGTTGGAAGTTTTTTCTCCATTTATAGTTTTATTTCTGATTAGCAATGAATGTAGCCTGCTAAAGCTAACGAGGCTTCCTGTCTGTCAGAACTTCTCTATTTGTACAATAAGGGACATTTCGTGTTAATTTATAGTTATTAGAAAGACTAAAGCAACTGGCCAACAGGAAAAAATACACACATTTTTTTAAAGTTGTTTTTCTAGCCAAACTTTGAAAATGAACTATAGAATTAGACTTATTTATTTAGATTATTATGGAGTAAAATGTGTTGGACGAAGCAGACACTAAGTTCCAACCTCTCTCACACACAACATGAGTATTACTTTCACTCCCTGTTTTGTAATTATTAAATCCAGTGATTCTTGCAGGTACACAAAGCTTGGTTATGCTGGAAACACGGAGCCGCAGTTTATCATTCCTTCATGTGAGTAACACACCAACTTCCTGTTTTTAGAATATTTGTATAATTTCACCTCAGCCTTGTGCCAGGATTAACATAGGGGCGGGCGATATGAAACAAAAATAATTATCCCAATGTTTGTTTCCCAACTCCCGATAACGCTATTGTCACAATATCTTTGAAATTAATCATTTTTACACAAAACGATCTGCAATGTTAATCAAAAAAGTGAAATAGCAAACATGCACAAACCTATATTAACATTAAAAATCAAATTCAAGCAACACAAGAAAGAACACTTCCAAAAAGGCTTGCTCCATATTTTCTGAAATTTACAAATAAATTGGCGCTTTATTTGACGAATGGGCCTCTTGCCTGCTCTAATTGGATGCAAACTTAAGATGATAGATTGTTTTTCTTTCTTCTTTGTGACGATCTAAAAACAAAAATTGTATAACTACTTGCATAAGACATTGGCAGCTTTACTGTCTATGTTTTGTAAATACTCTGGGATAGGCGCAATAAGCTTTAGCTTCTGCCTATTCCATTTCAGACTTTGTTTATTTATCATCTGTTTGGCATCTGTTGAATGTTTGAATGTCTGAATAAAATAATCTGAATCTGAATCTAATTGTAATGTGTATTGAAAAAAGACGATAATACAAAAATGCACATCTTCAAATTCACTTTCCCGATATTATTGTCTACGATATATTTTGCCCACCCCTAGACTTACATCATCTTCATCAGGGATAAGGCTGCTGGTATTGTCAATTGTTAGTTGTAAGAAATATTTGAACTCACTCATGCACTCTGACTCCCAACCTGCCTCTAAATTGGCAATACACTTTGAGCACTCTTATGCCGTTTTTCCACAGTCAGAGTACGGTACGTTTTGACTCTACACGGCGCGCCATGGCCCAGTTCGCGTGCTTTTCCATCAAAAATAGTACCCCTAGTATGTCCTCCGCGTTGTCAGACCACGTCATTTACGTGTGACGCGTAACTAGTACTGCTGCGTGCATGGATTTATTATAATACCAGAGCAAGTGTTTAATAGAACATTCAGCACAGCACGAGTAGTTTTTGAAAATGCTTCTGTCTTAAAAGAATGACTCAGAAACTGTGAAGTCAATGGTGCTGACTGCTCTGTACAATCTGAATGGGACCTTTTATAATGATCCATGTGGCAGGTATCGCAATCAAAGAGTCTGCTAAAGTGGGGGACCAGGCCCAGCGCCGGATGATGAAGGGAGTGGATGACCTGGACTTTTTCATCGGGGACGAGGCCATAGAGAAGCCCTCCTACTCCACCAAGGTGCTCCAGCTGCTCTGTGCCAGTGACGATCACAAATGCTTTTTTTAAGAGAGTTAAAATAGCTTGAAGTACAAAATGAATTTTCCAGTTTTCAGATTGTTTTGTATCCTTTTGAGTCCTATGGTCTGTCTGTGGAAGTGATCCCTCTGTCAATGTGGGCCTTCCTGTAGTTTCTACCTTTTTCCCCCACTGGGATTGTTTTTGATTGGTTCCTTGCCGATGCAGGAGGGTCTAAGGACAGAGATGACCCGGGACATTTATTAACATTAATGGGCAGTGGTCATCCCGCTTTCTATGGACCAATAGTTCCTGTCTATTTGTCTATTGAACGGTTTGATTCTCTGATCTGTTGTTGGCGAATCGACAAAGATGCCGGCGGTTGTGATTTAGCACAGTACAAAGATAAATATAATTGAATTATAAGTTAGTCATATGATTATATTGGGAGTTTAATATTCTTGGATTATTTTGTCTGTATTTTAAATTGCAATAAACAGAACTATTGTTGACGGTTGTCTGCGGCAGTGGCCCATCCGTCATGGGATTGTGGAGGACTGGGACCTGATGGAGCGCTTCATGGAGCAGATTATCTTCAAGTATCTGCGGGCAGAGCCTGAAGACCATTACTTCCTGTTGGTGAGGTCACATGATCAGAGGGTTACCGTCTGTCAGAATGAATAATATCTGCTCTTTAAAAGGACTTGGGCAAAACTTATCTTGATCTTAGTCTCATTTAGCCTAACCTTTACGATGTTTTTATTTAAAGTAGGTGTTTGTAACTGAATACATAGTTGTTTCTTGTCTCGTAGCATTTTATTGTGTGGTATTCGACCCTTTTTCAATCCATGTTGTTTAATGTAGTTTTAGGCTTCTCTTCACCTGTTGAACTACACTTTCCATCAACATTTATGAGTACGATGTGTAGCTATATACAACATAATCTGTTTACCCACACTCGGGGTGGGCGATGCATACAGTGGGGAAAAAAAGTATTTAGTCAGCCACTGATTGTGCAAGTTCTCCCACTTAAAATAATGACAGAGGTCTGTAATTTTCATCATAGGTTCACTTCAACTGTGAGAGACAGAATGTGAAAAATGTATTTGTAAATCATGGTGGAAAATAAGTATTTGGTCACTTCAAACAAGGAAGATCTCACACTGGGATGTAGTGTATTGAACAGAAGGTGCTGCTATGAGCTTTGAAGATTCTCATTCTCTATTCTAATGTATTTGTTTTTTGTCTTTGGTGCAGACAGAGCCTCCTCTGAACACTCCGGAGAACAGAGAATACACAGCAGAGATCATGTTTGAGTCCTTCAATGTTCCCGGTCTCTACATCGCTGTGCAGGTACCACCCACACTCAGTCACCAAACACTACTCTGTGCTGTAACGTGTACGTGCTGTAACGCGTACGTGCTGTAACGCGTACGTGCTGTAACGCGTACGTGCTGTAACGCGTACGTGCTGTAACGCGTACGTGCTGTAACGCGTACGTGCTGTAACGCGTACGTGCTGTAACCCGTACGTGCCAAAGGACCCAAATAGTCACATAAACGTTCCTAGTGTTTTGAAACGGGGTGACCGCTTGATAACAAACATGTGTCCTCTTGAGTAAACTGTGGTGTTGTGTGAAGGCCGTGCTGGCGTTGGCCGCATCCTGGACGTCCCGTCAGGTGGGAGAGAGGACTCTGACCGGGACCGTGATCGACAGCGGAGATGGGGTCACACACGTCATCCCTGTGGTACGCACACACAGACGCACACACAGACGCACACGCAGACGCACACGCAGACGCACACGCAGACGCACACGCAGACGCAGACGCACACGCAGACGCACACACAGACGCACGCACACGCACACATTATAGATTTTATTTATAATGCACCAGGAATCCATACAAACATACATTTTGTTGTCAAATCGTGACTCGTCTCTGGCCCCCATGGAAAGGCCCTGTGTACAGACGGTACCAGCATTTCCTCTCAATATAAATCTATAGTATATTTGCCGGTGTTTTGATCAAATCTGCAAATTTGTTTCTTTCCTGAGGAATCTTTTAACCAAAAACTCATTGATAATTGTGGAGTATTATTATATATTAACACATTTTGAAGTATTTCTCAATGTTCACGTGCTGCTCAGATGTTCGTGGCTCAGAAGTGACGCTGTCTCTGTGTCCAGGCCGAGGGCTACGTCATCGGCAGCTGCATAAAGCACATCCCCATCGCCGGCCGGGACATCACCTACTTCATCCAGCAGCTGCTGCGGGAGCGAGAGGTGGGCATCCCCCCGGAGCAGAGCCTGGAGACCGCCAAGGCCGTCAAAGAGCGCTACAGCTACGTGTGTCCCGACCTGGTCAAGGAGTTCCAGAAGTACGACACAGACGGCTCCAAGTGGATCAAGCAGTTCAGCGGCGTCAACGCCATCACCAAGAAGGAGTTCAACATCGACGTGGGCTACGAGCGCTTCCTGGGGCCAGAGATCTTCTTCCACCCAGAGGTACGGGCCAAATACTCCCTCAGAGTTATATCCACCACAACTTAAGTCAGACGTGTGAGATCACTTTGAGAATCTAAAATATAAGTGTTGTTGCCAATACTTCAATCACAACATCTTCAGGTAATCCTCCTTTGCTGTTTGTCCGAGTCACGGTAAAGTACTGCATCATTGTCAATAAAGTTCTAAATCTTCAGAAATACGCTCAAAAACTGTCCCAGTGTAAACATTAATGCAAAGGATTCTGCAAATGTGAAAGTTACACCGGTGAAAACACTGCTCATGTGCTGGAGACGCTCTTAAAGGGACAGTGCGCACCTGGACTACAACTATGAAGATGGCTGCTACTACAAAACAATCAGGCTTCATACATTCCTGAATTTATCGCAATATTTTCTTACAATAATCATGACTAAAAAAATTGAAATCGTGGCAACCCTACTGCTTGCTCAATGAAGCCCATTAGGGAAGAACTCATGGATAAACAATTCTATTCAATGTATTCTTGCCTCCAGTAGCAAAGGAATCTCTGCTCCTGTAGGCACTGGAACACAAGCCCATCCAGTCAGCTCATGTTTACATCTTTTTTTTACCCCCAGTGCTGTGAAAATATCACCAAAATGTCTGTATTTTTGTTGTGGTAAGAGTATTAGTAATGAGTTGTTCAGTAGCTACAGGACGTTCATTTATAGTTAAAAAAGACTGGAAGCTACCAGTTTTTAATCCCGCTGTTGATCTACTTAATTACAACATGAAAACAATTATATTCAAGTTCAGTTTATATGTTGGCAGAGTATGTGGTGAGGCTTGTGTACAAATGTCCTTATAGTCCAGAAAGTGCGGCACATGGTTCTA